ATTGGAAGACTTGGTGCGGTTCGTCGGTCCGTACCCGGGGTCGGGATGAGAAAATCTCGGTCGCTGGAGCGCGCGGAATTAGGCAATCAAATTCGAGTGGGAGGGATTCCACACCGCTAAGATGCTTAACAAAAATACTATATGTAATTGTTGAATAAGTGGGAGGGCCGGACTGGAAAATATTTGGCTTGAGGTCATGGCGCAAGGACCTAGCCCCGCGAGATCAGTGCGTCGTGAACGAGACTCAATTATATTCCCGTCCGGCCCGACCTAACTCAATAAATAGGTATTTTATCATATGACCACTAACTAGGTTAAAAAAAAAAAATTGAAAGTTTTTTTTCTTAAGACGCGATAGACTGGCGCACTGGGGACGGCCACACAGAATTTTCTTCGTTAAAAACGTGCCCTTTGCTTCTTCGAGTGTGAACAAGAACTCACAATTTATCGAAAAATGAGACCTTTCTTCAACAAAATTTTGCAACAAAGCAGTGCGAGAGCTCTTATTCACCAGCCGAGAGGTCTGTGCTGAAAAAAACTGTACCGAAGGTCTTGCCATCTGAGGCCAAATGTTACAATTACTTACGAATATTACATCACATACAACATTTTAAGCTTTAAAAGACCGCTAAAATCCGGAATAGACGTCAATTCGTTTCCACGTAAATTCCTGGAAAATACAAAAGAGCGGGATCACTTACTACTTTATCAAGAGTATGTAACGTTCTTGTACCGACAACAGAAATTGTCTGAGGGATTATTTGGTTTCTTACAAGTTAAAAGACTTTTCCGATGGTCCTTCCAGGATTCCAGCTGAAACATGGGACAATTTATTGCCCATGTTTCAGCTGGGTCTCTGTAAAAGAAAGCAGATAAGGCAAATTTATTTTCTATAAAGCATTTGTAAACCTGTTTGAATTGTAAATCAAGAGCATTAAAGTTTCCAAACTTACAGCTCACTCAATTTCCTCATCACCTTAAAAGGTTCCGTTTTCAATGTACTTTACTTCACATCGGCTCAGATATCTAATAAAGACAACAAAAATTATAAACACCTACGTTGTAAATTCCTTGGTTCTATACTTGGACAATTCCTTAGTGTTTCATCGCACAACATTTTCCTTCATTTGAAAACTTACAGAAGGGACATATTGTAAAAGCCATTAAAAATATCGGCTGTCAGATTAGGTCCAATATGATTTCTGGAAAAGTCTCTGTTAAGATATAACAAGCATTACCATTGGAAAAAATAATTAGCATAATTAAGATAAATATCAAATGACTATAATGACTATAATAATGAAACTTCTTTAAAGAAGCTAAAGGATCCTAGAATGAAGTCTGAAATGACTTGGAATTACAATAAAATCCAATTGCGAGAACTCTACAATCCGGCTCTGAAGTCAACGCGTTGTAACTTAAATGCCTGGAAAAATAAAAGAAAAGCGGGTTCTTGCGAGGTGCAAGCCACAAGAAGCAAATGACGACTTCGATTATAAACTATTGAGAAGCCTACACGACTCCTGCCATTAGCAAGTAATTTTTTACTTCTGCTTTCAGAGATTAGCTCTGGCCTTTCTGTGCGATGTGACGAGGTTTGTTTCGTAGGTTTTGAATTATGTAATGTAATGTAAAACTTTATTTATACGCGGAGAATCATCAGTTAAGCTAAAGGTAAAAACTAAAACTATTATAACTGTTTTACATGATTGCCCTGTGGGAATCCGATATCTCAGATACCTTCTTAATACGCCGTTTAAACTGCCCATTAAGGTCCGATTTCCCCATCAGTATGTTTTTGCCGGATTATATCGCGCCACAAAAGGCAGTGTTTTATTCTGTTTTTCTTTGTTTTTAAGCGACCCTTCTCCCCTAAATTTTGTTAAATATCTTCTATTCCCCTCTTTAAGGTTATTCCTCAATATTGCTCTGCGCATTCTGTATTGCGTATAAGAATCACGTAGTCAGGCGAATTAGAGCGCGCGCATTCGGAGCAGGGGTATTGTTTCTCAATCAGTGGGAAAGATAAAGAGCTTACAATGGTCTTTAGCACTTGAACGAGCACGGTGACAAATATCTTCTTTCATTGCAAAATTATCCTCTTTTAAGTGGAGAAATTAAAAAAAAAAAATCGAAGAATGAATTTTTAATTTAAAAAGTATTAAACTGTTTCATACGATGGAGACTTTCTACTTAGAAAGTTAGAGGCAAGTGTTGCTTTCACAACCCTTGCTACCAGCTACCGAAAAGCATACTGTGAACAGATGAAATGGAGCGTGTGAATAGAGCCAGTAGAAGCATAAATGGGGTAAGATCAGCCCATTAAACACGCACGGTGACCTATTTTTCATTGCATTTTCGAAACAGATATATGTAAGGAACATTATTAAAAGGAAATTTAAAATCTTTTTTCCGGTTACTCTTTCTCTGAGGAATAACCTTAAGCGTGTTTTGAAACTCTTATGTTGTTATTAAAACAAAACAAAACAAAACAAAACAAAACAAAGATAATTACAAGAACTACTACCGTACTTACAGCTCGGTGATATGCTTACGATCTTTCAGAATAACTTTCATCTCAACATACGATAACTTATTATCTCGCACAGAGCTGAATGATGAAGGGCAAAATATACAATGTCAGTTTTAACAGGGAAGATGTCTATTTAGCCGAGGAAGGTGATAAAATATCCCATGTATTTAACCGTAAGAACTTCTAGATAAAGGGATCCAGTCATCATGAAAGTGAGATAATCAAGAAAAAATCTTGTTTTAAACATAATGACGACGGTCAGCAGAAAATAATGAGGGTTTGGTCAGTTTGTGTACATTACTGATGTTTGTTTATGCGAGTTGCTTATCGAATTCTCACGAGTAGAAAGTTACACGTCGAGTAGAAAAACAAACACAGATAATCCGTGCAGTTTTTCCCGGGAGGTAAAATCCACCTCGTACAGTATTTTTGCCAATATTTCTACAGACGGAAAATTAAGAAAATAACAAGATTAGGTTTGAAAATACTTTATGGGGAGCTCGTTGATGAACGAGAATGTTCATGAGAGAAACTTAACACGCTCTGGATAACTGGCCAGCCTTTCGCCTACAATTTAGCTAGCGGTGGGTACTAAATATTGCCAGCCTTGTGCCTATGCAGTAAATGGTTTGAACCCGGGGGTAACATGTGAAGGTGTATTCTGATCGTCCGGGTGAGTGTAGTCCTGAGAAGGACTGTTGTCGGTGGTAGTGACTGACGTTTCGACAACCTGTGCGGAAGTCATCATCAGAGTCAAGTGAATGATTGTTGTCAGTAGAATGTTCTTATTCCAGGTCGTGTGAAATGATCGGTTGGTTTTGCCGTGATGTTATTGGCTGTAAGACTCAAGTGACGTAAGTCGGTCGTGATTGGTCTGTTTCGATCTGTCGGTAAAGTTAGGTCGTTCTTTTTTGGTCGTTTGTGATGTTTATGTCGTGAATGAGTCGTTTGTATGGAG